TATTTATAGCCTCTTACAATTACTCTCTGTTCATACATTTATGGATGCAAACTAAATGTTGTTGCTTTGTACTTGTGACAGTGAAATTACAATAAAGTTGAATTCTATTCTGTTTAATTCTATTTAATGTTTTTTTATAAAAAAAAACAAACAACATTTTAGATATTTATGTTAGCCTTTTTGCAGGAAATGCATGTACACATGAATTTTTTTTTAAATGAGCAAATACAAACTATGCACTTTTTTTGTTTGTTTTTAGTATCTTTTATTGGCTGTTTTACACCTAAGCTACATACATAAACCTACTTGCAGCCTAGTTTTAAAGCAATAGTAAAATGGTGCATGAGAGCTTAAGCACTGCTGTGGTTGTGGTTTGTTCATATAAGATTGTTTAAACAAAGGGGCTTTCCTTCCTGTCCAAGCTGCAGCTTCACTAAAGGAAACAAAAAAAAAACTTTTGATCTATACCTAACATGCAAGTAAACTAACACATTCTTGCTATGACTTATTCACCTAATGAATAAGTACACATTCGCACATGTACAAGTATGCTGAGCTTTTGTCCGCTTAATTTCCTGTTGAAACTTAGCGCTTGATGCATGTTTTTAGAGTAAACAGCTTTGCGGTTGGTCGAAGGAGTAGTTGACAGAAAGAACTGTCAGATATTATTGATTCTGCAGTCTGAAAAAACAATTTAGCGAGCTGAATATTCTGAAACATTGTTAAAGAATGAATCTATATCCATTACAATAATAAATAATTTGCAAACTTAATCTTAAAATCTTATTTTATCAGTGTGCACATGCAGAATACTGATGTGGTTGGATGGAGCTGGGTGATGAAAAAAAGTTTCCTACTGTCAGAAAGAAGTTAAACACATCTCAGTTTCTACTGTGTTTGCTACAGACATGTTGATATCACTATCAATTAAAATCTTATTCTGTCACAGCAAAAATCTTTGATAATTTTGTTGATAATCTTTTATAATCATGATTGGAAAGAAAAAAAAAAATTAAGATTGAAGACAAACTTAATGCGAGTTCAAAAGCCTTAACGCAAACTGATGGACCGCCTTTGTTTTTCAACTCCGCCTCCTTTAGCAGGAGGAGCAAGAGGTGGGGAGGTATGGAGGAGGTGTTTGTGCCCACAGCACTGACCTAAATGTAGCTCTTTCAGAAATGCTGTCAGATGGAGGAGTCTAAAATATCATCTAAAGACAATATGACAAAATGTTGTAACCATAGTCATATAAACCCCTCTGAAGACAATTTTATGATGTTTTATTTTTTATTGCTTTTTAGTATTTTTTCTGGTTAATGCACCTCTTACAGCAATTTCACAGGGAACTCTAGGGACAGAAAAATATAAATTTGCAAAGTAATGTCTTATATTTAATTTTCTAAAGGTTAAACAGAACAATGGTTAATAACTGGACCTTACCTGATTTACCATCATTTTCATATTCTTATCTTGATTTAATGCTTCTTTTTTTTGAGCCCACTGGGTACACCTCGAAGCATGTTTCATACATGCACATATAAACACATGTTATTTGTTGAACTATAATACAACCTAATGTGCAGAATTTTAACGGTTGGTACACAGATAATTCAGTGGAATTATATGCAGATCCACATTTAAGCAATAAAATAATAATGTGAGAGTAGAAATATATTTTAAAACTTTCATCTGAAATGTGAGGGGAAAAAAGGCCCAGAATTAGTGCTAAGGTTCTTATAGGTTGGTACGACTGTATGCAGTCCAAAAGTGCAGGAGAGCCAATATTTAGGATGCTCCAACTTTTAAACTAACTGCACCCACTTCGTGTGAGTATACTTCCTGGGTTAATCAGTAAGCTATGTGTTTACAATGCAGGGTCTCATCTCTTAACAACAGATGTTTCCTATGTACATCTATTTCGCTTTTGGTTTGAATTATTTTTTTTTATCTCTAAATTCGGAACTTCAGGCTGCCACACTTACTTTTTATAAATGCATCAGTCCTTTGATTGACAACAGAGCCTCTTTTCGCAGAGCTCTCTCTGGTGCATTTTAACACATACACCGATTACACAAAAATGTAAAATTACCCAAAATTTTTTGATACACTCAATTTTAATGAGCATACACCCCAGAAACTGTGTTTTTAAACACATTTACTTTAAAAATGTGCTGTGAAAAATTGAACCCTGTGTCCCTCAAACTATGTCATCGAACCCACACTAAGCTAACACATTGCCTATGCGTAACTGCATTAGTACGGCTGCCTGTGGGTCAGAGCAACGTCTCTGGGTCTATCTGATAGTTCAAGTATTAAGTGGGAAATATTAAAATTGTTTCCAAAATGGAAAACAAATTGAAATAAAAAAGTGAGGGCTTAATTGGAAAATAAAGAAAATATGTGTATAGCATATTAAACCCTCCACTTGAGAAGATAAGTATTGATGAGCACCATACTATTGACAAGAACTAAACAATTTTAGCTTCTTATTTCCTCCCATTGTCATGGTAGTGTAAATGGCCAGACACAATTTCACCTCCAGCTTCTCTTGGTAAGTTTCTAAACGATTTCACCCCCGCAACTTCACCTGTCAATCACCTTCACTACAACTGTGACAACAGTTCCTGCCACCTTAGTGCAGGAACTCGTGCACCCAGAGCTCTGCTATACCACTGTATTGCAAAGGAGCTATGGCACAAGTACAACATTTAAGCAAAGATTTTTGCGCCCTACGGTGGAAATACGTCACCAATCCAAAAAAAAATGAACATAGCTTTACATGTCATTAAAGATTAAATATCTATCTGCACATCTCAAAAAAATATTATAATTTAATTTTAATTTGTTTGTTTTTTATGTCTTAATCAAGGTTAATGGGTGGGTGGTAGCGCTCTCTATAGGCCAGCCGCCCCTGGAAAGGACACTTTTTTTTTGTTCATCTGCTGATCTCAGAGCAGTATTGGGTTTTTCAGTGATATCACTGCAGGCTTTGATCATACTTAGAGCAAGTTTAGTGATGCTCGATAGAATAATGCAGGCATTTGCTCATTGGAGGATTCTGAGTTTTCCCTTTCCAGCGGAGAGACAAAGATCGCTGGTCGAGGTACAGAAAGAGAATCAGTCAACAAAACCGAGCTAGGCAAAGGGGACCTAGGAGAAGGCAGAAACTAAAAACTAGGCACAGAGGCAGAGAAAGTGTTACAGACCATAGGACAGGGTGAGACAAAGGGTCTAGGCAAGGTCATTGTTGAAGTCCAGAAATTAGATGACTTATCAAATCTATTGACCGCTGGAGTAAGGCTGCTGATCCTCATGTTTCTGTGGCTTTTGGTATCGTAGCAGTGTGAGCAGTAAGAAAAAATCAAATCCTCTCACTGTTTTAAAACATTTTTAAAGGGGACATAGAATGATTATATAGGATATTTGGTGCTGGTCCTCAAGGTTTCTGAATAGGGTGTGTAACATTGGTTGGGCTGAAAATGGCATATTTACTGTTCTATGAGCCCTAATGCAAGCCTTGTTATAAGCCCCAGAGTTAACTGACTGTTTTCTTGCCTTTATGGTCTACTTATGAATATTTAGATGAGCTGTGCGCTGATTGGTTGGTTTACAACGAGCGAAGCTGTTGAGCAAAGACGCATCATAGCAACAAGCATTCACTCACTGAAACATCCAAATTGTTGATGTGGTATGGTGACCAGACGTCCTCTTTTTCTGGACATATCCTACTTTTTCATACGTAAACATTTTTTTTAATTGTCCGGGATTTTGATAGACTACAGTGCAGCAAATAGTCGAAACCCACAGGACATTCGAACTGAGCCATCAGCTTCGGAGCTGGTCCGGGAACCCCGGCGGACAGTGGCAGGGAGCCAGCGGGGGACAGAGCGACCGAACCCAACCAGGTGACGGTATCCCAGACAAAGGTGGCCCTATGTTTTTCCCTTCGTCTGCCTTACCGGCCCCCAGCCCACCCCCCAAAGAAGTGATGACTTCTGGGTGGTATGAAGTCATCACTTCATACCACCCCTCCCTCGGGCCAGTGAACCAGTGGGCTGGTCTGTATGTTAATTTCGGGGTGGGACAAAAGTACAGCTGAAAACCAAATAAGGCAAAATCCCTGAGTTTATGTCAACTCGGGGCTACGTTTGGATTTGTCGGTTTTATGGAGAAATTAGGTGTCAATGGGGTTTGAGCTTTTCTGTACGTCCATTTTATCCACTAAAGTATCGTTATTCATTTACGACAATGTAAACTCAGTTTTGCATTCTATGACGCCTTTAAATTATGACAAACATCATTTTTCAACATAAGAGTTTTATTTTGTGGGTTTTGTTAGACCTGCTTCTATTTGTGGTTTTTCAAGTATGAGGTACCATGTTGAGCTAAAAAACGTAATATAATCAAAATAACAATCATTGAAGAAAAAAAAATAAAAAAAAACACCAACAGTAAGGGAAAGCAGCAAGTTAAAGGACTTAGAGGTGAATAACTCAACTTAGTTGTGTTTAAAAAGAGGGCAGCTAAACTGGTGTAAGTGTATCTAAAAATAAAAGGCATTGAGAAAAATGGAAAGACTATAGCTTGGCTTAATGTCTCAAACAGTAGTCTCAAACCAGTGGGGGCTGCTGTTTGAGGCTATTATCAAGTCAGTAAGTCAATAATTTCTAAAGCTTACCCATTCTTTAGAAATATTTTGAATATCAGGAATTTATATGTGAATGTGTAAGATTATTCATGCAGTTTCCTAAGTAGACAAAAACAAAGATGAGGTTTGATACTGGATATAAATTGTTGAAACAAATGAATGGAATCATAACCACATCACTTCTCTGTGTTTAATATTTACATGAGAAAAATCTGCTTTGCTTTTTAGACAGAATTGTCAATTGACCACATAACAAACAAAGTCAATGCATTTAATAAAGTGATGTGAGACTTTTCATTGCTCTCAAACTAAGAACCTACTGGAAAATCGCAGCTACACAAAAACTCTCAAATATGTTAGCTTTCCAAATTTTGTAAAAGTCTGTACTTATACTTTACTTGCCAAATTTCAAAGTAATCATTACCAGATTTATTTGGTATTTGATCAGTACTCATGTACAAAAGACACAACAGCCGCATATATCCCCTTTGTCTCTGTGTATGCCTTCTTTTTTTCACCCTCTGGATTAATTACTGTGAAGATGACAGCAGTGTAAACATTTGCCTGCAGGTTTTTGCTTAGTCCTCTGTTCGATTGCAGAGCTTCAAAGGCTGAAATGAGATAGCAGAAAAAATTGCGATATTTAAATGGATATTTAAATTAGTTTGTATAACACATAACTAGATTACAATTACCATTGCTTTCTTTGATGCCATACAAAAGGACAGATAAAATGATGAAGACTAGGGCAAATCCAAAATAAATGAAAATGTTGACCGGCTGTGACCAAAGGTGGGTTTCTGCAATGAAAACAGAATAAAAAAGTAAAAAAATTAATTGAAGATATTTTTTGGAATAGAATAGAAAATCCGTTTATTGTCTTACAATGGGGAAATTCAGCAATCTCTGCCTTTTTGTGCATTGTCACAATGAGGTACCTGTGGTGTGGGTGGCAAAAGTGCGTAGAAAGCCTAAAAAATTTTATTCTATAAAATTTTATGAGTAAGAGTAGAACTACTTTACCACATTTTTACTCAAAAGTTAAAACAGTATTTTGTAATATGGCTATTTAAGTACTGAGTAAATTATCTACTTACTCATGATCACATCTTAATCAATATTTTACAAAATTATGCAAAGTTAAACAACATATAAAGTTATATGCAAATTCGGGTGTCTCAAAGATAGAAACTATAATAAGCAACATTTGCTAAATGTACAATAGCAAATTTAGGTGGTTCAGAGTATGTTAGACTAGGTTAAATTAGAGAGCATAGATTTCAGTATTTTCATGGGAATTTGAAATTAGTCAGCACAGATGGATAATAACATTACACCAATATGCCTTAAGTACAAAAACGTATTTCTCTCCCTGGTGCATTTTTCTTAAACAAGATGGCCTTGGTTTAGTTACTTATAATGGGTAGATTACCTGAAATTTTACTCGAGTACTGATGCATTATTAAATTTTAGGTCAACTAAAGAACAATTTTGTGAAATTACTCCTCAAAGCACTTTTGTTTAAAGTTACTCAGGATAATTTAACTTGTTACTACTTGCCTCTAGAGGATTGAGGAGTAATGAGATTCTGAGGAAAGGGATTATTTAATTCAATTAGGAATAAGTCTGTTACAGAAAATGAGCAATTGTGAAGCGAGGTGAACACTTTCTGGGTGCACTTAACAATCACTTTACTGTATAACCGCTGAAGCAAACATTGTGATTAAAATGAAAGTTGTAGATTTTTACCTTTGCTATCAAGCTTTTCTCCATTTCCAAATAATATCTGACCACATGCAGCCACAGCACAGTAATAAGTTCCAGGGTCTACAGTCTCAGAGAAGTTGTAGAAACATTTTTGTATCGATGGAGCTTCAGAAATCTTCTCACATTCATCTAAACTGTTTCCCTGTAAATAAAGTAGACTGGGATGAGAGTCATCTGACCCAGCTTTGAACCAGTACACTCTGTTATCTGCTGGACATGTTGACCTCTCTGAGTTGGACAGAACTGAACACTGTAAAGCCTCTGGAAGTTCTGGATAAACTGGACCAGATGGAGGCTTCTGAAGAACAGCAGTTACATCTGATTTATCTCCTGAAAAAAAAAAGAATTTACCTTCATAATTAGCAAAGAAATACTAATGAGTAAGAATATATAGCTATTAATCTTAAAATGAAATGTTACCTTTAATCTTTAAAAATGTTCCATTCATAAATATGAAGTCAAGTTGTCTGACTTTAATACAGTAATAAAGTCCAGTATCATTTTGTTGAGCTTCATTAATATGAAGAAGGAATTCTCCTTGGTCCTGTTTTGTCTCAATGTAAGGAATCTTTGAAACTTCATCAAACTCAAAGTTAAATGTTGCACCCAGAAATTCAGGCCAGTTTCCAGAAACCAGTCGGATCCAGTACAAAGTTTCTTGGTAGAGAGTAGCAGTCTGACGAGGGCATGTCAGGGTGACGTTTTGTCCAGCAGGGACGGTCTTTACCTTAAACTTAAAATCTTCAGTACAATCTGAAAAACAAAAAACAAAATGTTTTATCATACAAACAAGCATGTGCAGGAAGGTGAAAAAGCAAATTGGGTGAAATGCCAACTTTGCTTCACCAAAACATTTGTAGTTAGTGTTGGATTCAGTCATACTTACACACAACACCGGTCAAAAGCAGAAAATATATTATCAGCTCCATATTGTCATTACTGTTGAGAGTGCATGTAGCTTAAAGCAGATCATAGGATGGGTGAAACTAATATGCTTAGTGGGAGGGAACTAGTGTGGCCATAGACAGTGTTTGTAATCTTTTTTTAATCTTGTCTAATCTGTAAATGTTTCTTTATACTACATAACATCCCAGTCTGAAACAAATGAATCTTAAGGCACAACGGTAATATGAGCATGTCTTGTTTTATTGACTTATACTCATGCCAAAGAAGATGCAACATAATCTGAATCCATGCATGCCTACATATGGCTCTTAAACATCACAAAGTAGGAGCGTTAAACTTGTCTTTAACATATAAGGCTTAGGGTTATAAGATATGCCAGTGTGAAGGCGAGGCCAAGAAATGTGTTTGGCTTTGTTGTATGCAATAAAATACTATTCAACAATTTAGCAGTACATGTAGATATTTACACCAGTTGTGGCCCTGGGTTTGAATTAGCCACTAATAAATGTTTTTTTTTTTTTTTTTTTTTTTTTTTTTTTTTTTTTTTACAATTTTAATTAAAATAGGTAATTCATCATTAATAAAACCACAAAAAATGTCTCTCTATAAACAAACTCTTGACTCAACAGTGGTCAACACTAGTCCTTGATCCATGAGATCACAGACAAAGACTAACCACACACAGTCACGCTTTATATTGGCTAAGGTTTATTAAAACAATTTCCTGTTATAATTATTCTGTTCAATTATGCTACTGTAATTGTTAGAATTAATCGTCATTCATGAAAAGCCTTGCAAAACCCTTTAATTATGAGGGTTGCTAAATATCTAAATAATATTTAGTATATTATATAGTTTTCCTACCTATAGTGTGGGGCTATTTTTTTTTTGGACCTCCCTCAAGGGTCAAATTAGTTGAAGCAGAGATTCCCTTACTAAGGATAAAAGTAATAATCCTAATTGCTTAATGCAAGGCATACACTCTAAGATATTTTCAAACACTGTACTCAGCTACAGCTCAAACTGTACGACGAAACTGCAAGGTTTAAAATTTCATAGCTCATGATGCATGTTCTTATACTGTATGGCTGATGCTCAGATGCGATTTACCTGCTCACACTGCATGGCCAAAAACGAAACGTCTGACTCAGTGTGTGGAGATGGCGCTGGTTGGTCTTATCAATCTGGAAGAAGAAGTAGAAGAACTCCCTTGTTTGCACATGCGCAGTGCACAAGGTTCTGGTAAATTGGCTGTGCTTCAACAACAGGTTTCACCCACAAACACCTTATGAATTTCTAACATGTTTGATTTTCTCCTGACCTTACGATTCCTGATTGGGAGGTGGTCACGAGTGGCTGATTGCCCCTCTATACTACATGAAACAGGACACACCATGAGGCTGAAACTCAACCCTATCCAAAAACTTCTCAAACATCTGGAGAATCAGCCAAAAAGGACAAAAACTCATACAGTGTATTCTGCAAGTTTGGAAGAAGAAAATGCTGACATCCCACAGTAATAAAATCAGAATAAATAATTCTGTAGCCATAAGAGCAGTTGGGCACATACAGCCGGAACTGAACATCACTTAAAGACAGACCCTTTCAGATAGAGACCCACACCGTGTAACACAGTTCACTGTTAGAAATGAAAAAACCTACAAGTGTTTCTTGGCTTATCTTTTTTCTTTTAGACGTTTAGGACAACTTCCGCCAAATGAGCCCAGTGCTTTAGCTGTACTATTTCTTTGCCTGAAATTTAAGTCCTGTTTAGACTCTTTACTATATAAATGCATGTTATTTAAAGTTTGGTTTAAAGAGTAATCGCTTGCAGGAACATGAACTGGGCCAAAGCTTGATGTCATAAGTGCCTTTATGGTCAGCAGCTTTCAATGCAGAGTACAGTAATTTATTGAAAGAAGACACATGAGGCTTGGGGAAATCTGCAAAAATATTATTTGGCAGCATTAGTTCTTAAACTATTTAAATACATAATGTTGCTTAATTATGCATTGAAAAATTGTACATTAAAGCAGCAGTAATTATGAAGTAAATAGGATTAGACTGAATTTGGAATATGGCATGAATGGAGTTCTGTTTTCAAACGGACACCTTTTTAGACAACAGTGTGCGCCTCCTGTGGCCACCGAGGAAGGGAGGGATCACAAGACAACAGGCTAACAGGCTGCGAGCTTTGATCAGCCAAAAATACACAATATTACATTCAACAGAATGTTCAAGGAAACTCCTTTATGGAGCAAATATCAGTTTGTCGCTAACAGGAGCGAAGAAGCAGGCTGCTATTCTTTTCTCATGTGTGGCTTTCAGCAGTAGTGAGGCAGGTACTAGTGGCATAGGTACTAATGTACCAATGCCACTATTTTTAAATAGTAATAATTTGGATAACTCATAATGAAAAATATGAATGGCTATCGGTCTTTAATGATTAGAAATAGCAGTTTGGATAATTATATAAAAATTATTAACTTGATTTATCAGTAAAAATTAATACTTAAACTGGGCTTAAATTAACCACTAGTAAATCTGAGCAATTTTACTATACATTTCAAATAGGTGATTATTCATCTCAAACCAAACCACAAAAAATGTCTCTATATAATAAACCTGTTGACTCAAAAGAAGTGTTCAGCCCTGAAACTTGATGAAATCAAACAGACAACCACCTCACCATAAAGTATACTATTACTTAAAGAATTATTCCCCTTTGTAGGAAATTATTCTCTTAATAATCCTACTAGAATACACACAAACTACTAAAAAGGGAAAACACAAATAATATAAAAATAAGATAAACTGATGACTCTGGATGGTAGCAGATTTTAGCTAATTTAAATAAGAGTCTAGCTTAATTAAACTTTATATAATTGTTATCTAAACCAGAAGCAAATAATAAGTCCACAGAATAAAAGTTAATTTAAAATATGGATCATTGAACAAAGCTGAAGCAAACTGCTACCAGAGTAAGTAAAGAGCATCAAAACCTATTGCCTTTGCCCAGGTCACAGATGAAAAGAAAAATTTTTTTTATATATATTTTTTTCTTATATGTGAAGTGGTTGGAGTGAACCAGCAGCCATTGCTCTCCTTTAAGGCTTGATAACGGTTGTAACTCAGAGGGGAGAACATGACTATAAGGAAATAGGAAGCTGGCTACGGCGGTTTTCAGAGTGTGTGTGGGTTGCAGTTCAGGGGAGATTGTGCCACAAGGGGCAAGGCCAGCTCTACTATCCTCTTTTGGAGGCAGGCCTGCAGCACTTTTGGCTCTTTAAAGTTCTCAATAAGGGAGGAGTGAGTTTGGCTGCTAGGGACTCACTGGAGTTGTGGCTTTGACAACGTGAACGGGCGGTACGGTTGTTTTCTTGGAAAAGGCAACTCCAATACCATAATGCTGCCACATTTCAGCAAGGAGGCTTTTCTTTGTCTCAAAGTATCTATTCCGGGACTTTCTGGTTTGTCCAATAACAGAGGCTTGTTGGCACATTGGTTGGACCTGTGAGGTGAACTGGAGGGTTCTGCAGATAAGTCTCACTGCATGCTCCAGGCTTATAAGCTTTCTCTTTGAAGGAATGAAAGAAGCAGGTAGACTGTGGCTTTCAACCAGGGAATCACAGCACCAGAAATTTATCTTTGTGCTTCAAAGCACAGAGCTTAGCTCAGATGCTTTATTCTCCTTTGCAGTTGAACTGTGAAAGATACTGGATATCATAAAATTTGCTCATAAAAGTCCGGATTATCTCCCAGACATTGGAGACTGTTGGAAGATTAAGATAGGAGCAGAAATGGGCAGGATTATCTTGTAATGTGAACCCCACGTATGCAGAGAGTAGGTGTCCAGAGAAGAGCTGCAGCTATGTCACAATCCCAGTTAAACCAGTAGCAAAAATTAGATGCATTAAACCCTATTTAAACTTTTGGAGGGCACCAAATGGATGGTTTTAGACACAAAAGACTGGATTTTTCACAAATATGCAATAGATTCTCAAAATGATTCTTAGATATGCAGACAGCACTCTAAGACATATATTTACCCAGCTTTTGGTTAAAAAAAAAAAAAAAAAAGAGGTTCACTTAGGGTTAATAAGTCTATTAAAAACACAAAACAATTCATATCTTTTAAGAGACATATTTAGTAGAGATCTGCCCCTTTAGCAGGAGGAGCATAAGGGAAAGACCTAAAAGTAGCTCTGTCATTTTCAGAGGTGCAAAGATGAAGAGGAGATGGAAAGTCGAGTGTAAAAAGGAGACAAAACAGTGGCAACCAAAGTGAGATGATCTCTTGTGAAGATAAACATGAAAGAGGGACAGAACTCGACTGAACAGTCAGTGGAAGTGAGAGCAGAAAAAAATAGCAACACTGATCTGTTATAAAAGAGGACAGGATACAATTTTAACAGGATGAACAAATTACTATTTCTGCAACAGAAATGCCTGGAATTTGGGAATATAGTATATAATATTTCCTCCTGCTCTTGTTTTTTTTACAGAAAAAACAAAACAAAACAAAAACTAATTGGGCATCTTTTGGATCTATTTAAGCATTCTACTAAAAATATTGTTTAATACCAAAAAATCAACAGCTAATAAACAAGATAACTTGTTAATGTTGGTGATTAAGGTTAACCCCAGATTGAAGGACCGAGATCATTGTGGGTAATGCTAAATTTGAATTGAAAAAGCTTCCTAGATGGGAAGCGAAACATCTTCAAACTTGTAAACAAAATCAAGTGGATTGTTTTTAACATTTTAAAACTTTATTTGGAATGACTATGACCTGGATGACCGACAATCTTCAACAGCGTAAACCCCAAGCTTAATTGTTTTGCTGTCATTTAGACAAACCTCACAGAGCTCAGTGTTGGTCTGGGGTTTGGTTATCATGCTATTTAAACCTCATAGTTTACATGAGTTATTCTTGTAATAGGTTGCCTTTTGTTATGCTGATGTGCGTTTTTTATATTTTTTTCATCCTACTGTGTTGTTTCTGCATTCCTCAGAAGATGAATCAACATATTAGGTTGAACTTTTTGTACCTAAGCACCATGATAAGTTGAGAGACAATTTTATAAAGAATCTCAATTTAAACTACCATGAATTTTTTCTATATCATCATCATCATCATCAAGAAGTTTATTGCTCATTGTTGACAAAAGATTGATAGTACAAGCAACAAATGTAAAGAAGAAGCAAAGGCTAGCCTTTTTTCAGAGGCAAAAATACTTGTTTGGTGTCAAGGTTATGTTCATATGTATTAAGTAAAACATTTTATGTTAAACTGAGCATTTAAGTTGTAAATAATAAAAAGGAAATACATTTTATCCTGCTGCTCATTAATGGAAGATAATTCTAAAGAACATAAGATAATTTTGATTATGCCTAAATGTATCTCTGACTAACCTGCCCCACTAAATAAAACCATGGTGTAAAGCATTTGTATGACATTTATCTGTTCAATTATTAAGAAAATTTTCTACTATTCACTGTCTATTAAAGGGAAAAGGTAATTGGTGTGAAAATTGAAGGTTTTTTGAACAACTAAAAACAAAAGACGGCTACTTTCAAGATTGCATCAGTTTCCTTTGTTTTCCTACTCAGGACCTACTTTCTTTATTTGCAAAAAAATGCACGTCCACATTAAAATGTACAGCAAAATATAGGCATATACACTATATTGCCAAAAGTATTTGCTCACCTGCCTTGACTCACATATGAGCTTAAGTGACATCCCGTTCCTAATCCATAGGGTTCAATATGACGTCGGTCCACCCTTTGCAGCTAGAACAGCTTCAACTCTTCTGGGAAGGCTGTCCACAAGGTTTAGGAGTGTGTTTATGGGAATTTTTGACCATTCTTCCAGAAGCGCATTTGTGAGGTCGCACACTGATGTTGGACGAGAAGGCCTGGCTCTCAGTCTCCGCTCTAATTCATCCCAAAGGTGTTCTATCGGGTTGAGGTCAGGACTCTGTGCAGGCCAGTCAAGTTCATCCACACCAGACTCTGTCATCCATGTCTTTATGGACCTTGCTTTGTGCACTGGTGCACAGTCATGTTGGAAGAGGAAGGGGCCAGCTCCAAACTGTTCCCACAAAGTTGGGAGCATGGAATTGTCCAAAATGTCTTGGTATGCTGAAGCATTCAGAGTTCCTTTCACTGGAACTAAGGGGCCAAGCCCAGCTCCTGAAAAACAACCCCACACCATAATCCCCCCTCCACCAAACTTTACACTTGGCACAATGCAGTCAGACAAGTACCGTTCTCCTGGCAACCGCCAAACCCAGACCCGTCCATCAGATTGCCAGATGGAGAAGCGCGATTCGTCACTCCAGAGAACGCGTCTCCACTGCTCTAGAGTCCAGTGGCGGCGTGCTTTACACCACCGCATCCGACGCTTTGCATTGCACTTGGTGATGTATGGCTTGGATGCAGCTGCTCGACCATGGAAACCCATTCCATGAAGCTCTCTGCGCACTGTTCTTGAGCTAATCTGAAGGCCACATGAAGTTTGGAGGTCTGTAGTGATTGACTCTGCAGAAAGTTCGCGACCTCTTCGCACTATGCGCTTCAGCATCCGCTGACCCCGCTCCGTCAGTTTACGTGGCCTACCACTTCGTGGCTGAGTTGCTGTCGTTCCCAAACACTTCCATTTTCTTATAATACAGCTGACAGTTGACTGTGGAATATTTAGGAGCGAGGAAATTTCACGACTGGATTTGTTGCACAGGTGGCATCCTATCACAGTTCCACGCTGGAATTCACTGAGCTCCTGAGAGCGACCCATTCTTTCACAAATGTTTGTAAAAACAGTCTGCATGCCTAGGTGCTTGAATTTATACACCTGTGGCCATGGAAGTGATTGGAACACCTGATTCCAATAATTTGGATGGGTGAGCAAATACTTTTGGCAATATAGTGTATGTACATGTTTTTGTTTTTAATTCAGTGTTTTACTTGCTTTCCCCCCCCTGTTTAATACATAGACGTACTTGCAGCCTAGTTCTAAGGCATGATAAAATGGTGCATGAGAATCTAAGTACTGCTGTGGTTGTGGTTTCTTCATACAAGTGTGTTGAAAACAAAGGGGCTTTCCTTCCTGTCCAAGCTGCAGCTTCACTCTGATGAGTAAAAAATACAGCTTTGAGTCTGCACCTAGTTTTCTCATGCACAATTATGTGGAAATGAATTATTTCAGTCAAATGTTTTGAGGATACTGCTCTTGTTAATGCTACTGTATAATAAAAATATGCATTGGCAGATTTATTTTCTTCTTGTTTTGTGAAGTGAATTTAAAATATTAACAGTTTAGGGCTTTGAATAAAGCAAATGTTTAATAAATTACTAAAGTTTTTGAACACATTTAAGTGACAGGTATAAAAAATAAAATTAAATACATTTCAAAACTTCAACTCATAACATTTGTGTCATTAAAAGTAATTGAAAATTACACCTTAAAATAAGAGATAACATTATTTTTTCTCTTTCGTTTCTTCCCTTACCCCATATTCGTTCCAGACAATACATTTGCGCCTCCTATTGACATAAGTGGTTGTTTTCACAGTATAGCTCTGTAGTTGCTTAAAGCTCTGCATATGTGCTGCCACATTTTCAACCTGCCAGAATGACAACTAATTCTGCTTTACCTGATGACAGAAAGAAAAGTATCAAATACTTAGTGAGGTCATTTCCTGAGTCTGGTATACTAAATTAGCAAATGTGACACATTTGTATAGAAATCATTTGTATCAATTACATATAAAAATATCAATGCACTAAAAATAGTGTGTGGAAAGTATGTGAAAAAAAATAATAAAAACTTAAAAGCATTTTATTTGGAAGAAGGGGAGGAAGGAAGCCATTTGCCAAGGTGCCTTATTATATCAGTGTGCATGTGACAAATGTTAATAGGATTGAACAGGCTTTGGTCATGTAAAGAAGGTTCTATTGTATCAGAAACTGTATAAAAAAGATCTGTTTCCACTAAATTGGCTCCATGCATTCATGTATCAGTGATCAAGTATTGGTGATGGCTGATAGTGTATAGCTATCATTTATAATTTCATTTTAATTACAAATAAATGCTTAGTAAGGTTGATCATCTCTCAAAATCACAAACTAAGAAATGTAGGAGGGATAGCAACACTACTTAGCTCTTCACATGTAGATATATGATGAACTAAAACGGTGAATAATTTTTAAAAGTCCATCTCTCTCAAATTTGATTTTTTGACTTGTGTTTTTTAGCTTTTATTTTTTTTCTTAAAACAGTAAAGACACACTTAACATCATGTTCCACCCTAAACTGAAAGCCCACCTACTTTTTTAGATCCTCCCCTTTAGCATGAGGTAAAGTGGTTGGGAGGTGTTCATGGTCACACCAATGAGCTAAAAGTAGCTCAGTCATTTTCAGAGGTGGAGACATGTGGAGGAGTCGGAAAGTCAGATCTAAAAAGGAGATGAAACAGTGGCAACCAAAGTCAGATGATCCCTTATGAAGGTTGATATGAAAGCGGGAGAGGACCCTTGACTGAACAGTGAGAGGAACTAAGAGTAGAAAATGACAGCAACACTGCTCTGTTTTAAAAAAGGAGATGTTTAAAATTCGTCCTGATAAACAAAATATTATTTAGAAAATGCCACCTTAAGTTCTGTGACAGAAACGCCAAAAAAAAAGGATAAAAAATCTAACATCACACTTTCTTACTCTAAATGGAACAGGGGAATTGAAAGTAAAGTGGAGAAAGTCAATGACAGTGTTTTTTTTATATATATATGTTTAAACTGGTAGACCATTTGCTTAATTTCTAATACAGTGGAGAAATTGTCCAATACTTTTTAAAAAAAGTACCCGCTTTGTGCATAGAAGCATGGCCTTCTAAACTTAGTGTATGGCATGACAAAAAAGAAAGTAATGCAGTGGTTTCACACTGGTGTAAAAATGAGAAGGCTTAATTTTCTCTCCATTTATAGCTGAAAGCTGAAAACTACTGTACCTAAGACTGATTTTGATCAACAAATGAGCTTCCACCCATGCTTACTCATGCTAATATGACTTTTTATTACTGGTAGCTTCTTGTACACAAGAAGCAATAAAGTTACTTTGAAACAATATAACAGCATAAGATCCTGTGTAAAGATTAGGCCTGTCAGTTTTAGACTGTCAATGTAGACTACACATAGTTTCAGCTATCAATGACAGGAAAGAGTGATATTCATGAAAATCTATAATCTAAAAAGCATGTGGAGATAAAAAATAAAAAACATACAAAAGTATACACATATAAATGTCTGTCACCTCCATTTTCTCTCGTCTCTGCTTTGTGTGGAAGCTCATACTGTTTGGCTGGTATCAGTGGCTGCGTCCGCCAAGGACCAAGTCTACCTGCATTAAGTCTTTTGGGAATTGATACAATAAGGAGACCGGAAGAGTTTTGATATGGATTCAAACAGGTCCAGCCTTCTACAGCTTTAATCGCCCCTCATTAAGCGTACGCTCTGTCACCTAGCAATCATGACAGTAAACACACAAAAGAGGCAAAAAATGGATGCTGAACTTCTCTCTACTATTGGTTTGGATGCCTCATTATGCTTTTTCCTGCTCTCTATAAATTCTTGAGGTTTACATTAAAGTTAAAAGTTAGAGTCACATTAACCCTCCTCATTGCATGTCGCTGATGTAAAGTTGAATTTCTCATGGGCCATTTTCAACACACCACTATCAAATAATTAGAGCATTAGCAGAACCTTATTGGACATAATACATACTGAGCAGGTTATACAGTAATTTGATTCAGGCATTAGAGCAGGGACACAGGTTGCCCGAGGAAAAAACTTTTTTTTAGGAGGAAAATAATTACTAACATAACAAATAGGATTCCTGATAGAGATTAGGAGACTCTGCCATAATAGACATTTGAATATCTAATGGTGTGTTCACATCAAAAGCAATTCTACCAATTTTTGAAGTGCTTGTTTGTTGCTGGCTTAAAATGTATTATTTATTATTTCTGCAGCTAAGAAAGTCAATGCTTCAGAGCATAATCAATTAGGGGAAGATTTTATCTACTGCTCACTGGTTTTGTCTAACTTCACGGACTTGGATTTTACTATGTGAGTTACGGTACGTTATCTATTATGGCAAACAAAATAAAGTAGTGTTGGTGTCCATTAGTCCACCAGATCTTCCACTGGATCTTCCAACGGTGGTAAGGTGAGGAGGACACACTCTAGAACAAGAGACTCGGCAGAGAAAACATCAGAAGCTGTAGCAGCATGGGAACAGCTCTGGGGCTCAGGTTGATGAAAATGAATGCTTTAAACTCCCTCTAAAACCACCCACTGACCTCTAAGGAGGCTTCCTTGCTTCATCATATTATATCATCAAGCAACACCTTTCTATCTTCTACTTTGATTGAAAAATAACTATGGCTCAGCTGGACTCCCTTACCCTATACCACGGCAACATCTAGTCCCTGAATAGATGATAGTGCACTAATGGATAGAAATTCCAATTTTTGAACTCGTCCCTTATGGGTTTCACTTCACTTTTGCTGCACTCTAATCATCTTTGTGAGGACCCAACTAAAAAAAATTAAACAAGCTTTTATCAGCCAAAAAGTAAGCTTTTCTTTTATATTTGAGTTCACCTTCAGCCTTGACACACATCAAAACCAAGTAGAAGTACAGACTGGATGTAGAGAACAGCCTCAGCTGTTTTTCACAGCTGCTTTGATGAGCTATCCGAGCTCATCAAAGCAGCTCAGGTGTCTTGATGAAAATAAAGCAAAATTTAAATAACAATTTCTGCTCCCAGTTCATTAAGTTTAAATGTGATTATATCGCAGCCCTATTTTTATAAATACAGGTTTATAATATAATTTTATTTTGTACCTATTTAGATTAACTAACTTCCAGGCAACATATTTATGTTTTTTTTTTATTTCTTTGAGAAGGAAAGCATAAATAAATATAAAAATGAAATGCTCAAATGTAAAATAGTCTCTATTTTAGTTATTGTTCATTCCACTTTTGGAAAATCATAAATACTTTTTACTGAGGGCTGGACTCAGAACTGGAAAAATTGCCCAAAGGGGAACACAAGTAAAACACTTATCTAGAAGGACCTGCTCTAATTTCTAAGGTTGGAATATACAGTAACTTTACCGCTGTAATTGCAATAGTACTACGATAATAAATATAAGTAACATCACACATTCTTACTCTAAAGAGGAACAGGGGAATTGTAGTGCCAAGGTTAGAGCTATACATACAGTAGTCATATCATGTCTTATTATGCATCAATGGCAAATCATCATCATCAGTAATAGGACAGAATAGTAATGAACCCCAACCAGTATATCCATGGTTGGAATACACAAACTTTCATATTTGTGTGCAAGTCAGTAACAACAAAAAAAAGTTAACAACACAATCAGTTAATCGAATAATGCTGTAGTGCCAAGTGAGCCAGTATTCCAGCTGAGAGCCATTTATGTTTAATGGTACTGTAGTGTTTGGTGGTGTTAAAGTCACTTGGTGCATGTTGTTGCTCTATTGTTGAAATGGATCTGTACTATCTCCCAATACTCTACTTCTCCTGATGATTATATTCCAAATTTGTGTCAATGTAAATGTTTTTAAACCTAGAATAGATAAAATACTTTTATGAAACCATTTCCAAGCTTCCCCATGTTAACAAAACAAAATGGTTACTTTATCTGAAAATACTTTACGTCGGTGATAATGTTACATTTCACTGCCACATTTTGGATAAGGATCTTAAATTTGTTTACTGGTATAAACAGTCTCTTGGTTATATGGTTGAAAAAGTAGCTAGTGTAGTTTTAGGTAAATTGGAGGTATATGAAAAATTTAGAGCTTCTGGCTTTGACACGAGAGCAGATGGAGGTCATTATGATCTCACAATCACAAATGTGACCAAAGAGGATGAAGCAACATACTTAAGTCACGCTGGGACAACATATTCACAGACGTTCATCTATGGCAAATTCCTAGCTGTGAATGGTAAGATGTAGTTTGTTGGCTGTCAAATTCCTGGAAAGGTGTTGTCTTTGTTTATAACGGGTATATGTCTTGTTTACCATGTTTTTGCTAACTCTGCAGATCATAAACAGCAGAAATCGCTATATTTGGAACAACATCCCACGACTGAGTTGGTTAAACAGGGAGACACTGTAACTCTTCAGTGTTTTATTCTCTCAAAGAACAAAGAAAAAGTTGAATGCCCGACTAAACCCAGGATTTACTGGTTCAGAGCTGAATCTGATCGATTCCATCCTGGCATCATTTACACTCAGGGGAACATCAGTGACAAAGTAATGGAAAGAAGCTGTTCCTACAGTTTATCTGTTCGAGACTCGTCTGATGCTGGAATTTATTACACCGCTGTGGGCACATGTGGATCAATACTGTTTGATGGAGGAACTAAAGTAGCGACAAGTATGTGTTTACAGCCTCATTCACATGGAATTTGATTTGAGAAATAATCCGATAAAGTGACAGTTACGAATAGTAAAAGCACATCCTATCTAAACTTGAAATCTGATTCTAACCATCTTTTCAACTCTTCCAATGTTTGTTTCTGAGTTAGAAATTTGTGTTCTGTACAGACATATAGAAAATACCAAACCACCTTTTCAATCAGCTCTTTCTTAACAACACATGCTTAGATTATATGTGATCTATTTTTCTTTTCCTCCAATCTAGGACCAGAATCAGACCCTATAGTTCTTGTCCTTGGAGGACTTTTGGCCTTTAGTGTTTCTATAATTTTTCTATTAATTGTCAACAATAAAGGAAAGATCATCTATCACCACCACAAAGGTAAGTGTTTCATACTCTACACTACTTTTCTCTACAACAAAGAGCTTTCAAACTGTAAAGCAACAAAATTAATGTCAATATATCCAGACACTCTAACCCTTCATTTAAAAACACAAATAGATTTCTTCAGAAGCATTAGAAAAAAAAAGGAACTATATGAGCTGTCTTTCCAACAACATTTCCCAATAACTCAGATAATCCACAAGGATAAGCTTGTATAGATAATGGATACTGCACCATATTTTAAGAGTATAAACTTAGTAACTATATTCCACATCCATAGTTACCTCTAATCTTTTGCTTTATTTAAAGGACAACTATGTGACATTGAGTATACTGAAAATACCAATTTAAGTTCTGGATTAATCAAGTTTGATGGTAAACCATATCAGACAGTTTGATTATTGCTGAATGTTATTATTCTTCCTGCAGTAGGAAAATAATCTTTTTTTTTTTTTTTTTTACAGAAACCACCGAAGCCAACTATGTAGAGGAGAGACCAGGAATAAGGAGAGGAAGATGAATGAAATATTTATTTTAGCAATGCCTTTACTCCACTGTCTCATCAGATTCTTGCCAACAGCAGTTTTCTTCTCTACAAGCACCATGGGGTCAATATTGAGTTTGACTGCATTTTTTCCAGATCACACTTATTTTTTGTCTAAATATGAAATCAGTTCTGTGAAGAATACCCTCATCATACCTACTGCTGCAGGTGAATATAAAGTGCCTTGTTAAAGATAAATACATAATAAATAACTCCAAGACTGCACCGTAAATGAGTGTAAAAGATTAATTCTCAAGTGTCTCAATGGGTTAAAGGTGGGTAAATAAACTAATAAAAATATACCTTTCTCTTAAGTATATTTTAACATCTGTTTTTCGGTAAGGGACATCTGAAAGATGGCAATTTTCAGTATTAATGAAACATTTTGAAGTAATTAGTTTGTACAGTACAATGCAAAATGACAGATTGCTGTGTTGAGTTATTGTAATCGTGTCATGAAGTTTAATAAAATTGCATTTGTTTATCTCTTGGTCAGTTTCCCTGTGTCAATTTCTGTTTTCATTTAGAAATCATGCATCATTAACATGGCCTTAATTTACAGCTGTAATTCATTTTATATCTAAATGCTTTATGTTGGCTCTAATCCCCGTTTGTGCCAGTGTGCAGGTAGACTGTTATAAAATAACAGATAATGGCTCCTACTGTATCAAATGAAAATAACTTCAACTGCCAGCAAAACTTTGGAATACATAGCAAAATGTACAGTACTGTTAATATTTAACTATTTGGCAGTATAGCATTAAGTAAACCTGCTGGTTTCACAGCTTATACTACAATCACCGCAGCTTGGGTTGCTCCCTGTTTTAAGATCCAACTTGGACGTTTACTGCAGGGTCATTGTAGTGGGAAAAAAGTATTCAACTATTCACCCCAGTTAAATAAAACGAGATCGATGGATTTCACTCAGTATATTTATTTTCATATCTATGCAAAGAAAGAACAGTTCATCATACAGCCCTTACTGCTTGGTATTCAGTCCTGTTCTGCCTAGACAGCGTATGTTCCCCCTTACTTACAATAATGGAAAGTTCTCAGACTCAAAACAAATTACAGACACGTTGGTTAACAGTAACATGTTATGAATAAACCTTGAGAAAGAATTGTCTTGTTTTGGGAAGAAGCTATGTCTGGTCTAAAAACACCCTTTTACAGGGGAATTGTGTGGCCTTGCAGATGAAACAGACTGAGTAAAAACTTGTATACAGTAGTGAGTTAATGTTAATAGGATATATTAATATGTGAAATAAGAGAAACTAAATTTTCGACCACAGTCAGTTTGCTTTTTTTTTGGCATTACACTGTCCCAAGTACAAAGCAATGAAATGAAGTCCCTGCATTTAACCTATCCCCTTGGGGAGCAGTAGGCTGCCATTGTGAGGTGACAGGGACCATTGTGGGGTTAGGGGTTTTGCTCAGGGACCCAGAGTGGCAGTCTGTGGGAGTGGGGCTTGAACTCAGAACCTCTGGATTCCAAGCACAATGCCCTAACCACTAGGCTGCCACTCCCCTTTTTGACAATTTCCAGTAAGTAGGCATCTATTATCATAGTAGAGTCTTGAAGACAGTTCAAAGTTTGTGTTTACAAGCTTTCACCAAAATATAGAAATGGTTAATGATCTGTAATTACATAGAACCTTTGAAAATCAAGGGACTCCAAACTTTTTTATACTACTTTCAGTCATTCATATATTCATGCATGCACTGATGGTGGAACACTGTTATAGCCACAGCTGCCGCGGCGCTCACTGACAGAAGCAAGTCTGCCGTACAGAGACGACCGTCGACCATCAGTAGGTTCAAAAAAAGTGACCCTTCATTTGCAGGATGAACTCCGGCATCCTATAAAACTGTTGCCCCATAAGTGAATATCACTCTCTGATTTATTTAAAACACATTATACTCTGAACTAAATAATCATTGATAGGTCATGATGCTGTTATTACAACTCTCATTTAGTTTGCTTTTTTTTTTTTGGGAAGTGCAACCTGTGTAAACTCAAGCTCTCAAGAAAGCTTTATTGCGAACAGGCACCTTTATTATGTCTTTTCCAAAATGGAAGTTAGAAATTTTTTTCTTTGTTAACTGACCTATTCATGTTTCAGTGGTTTATTAAAAAATATATTCATGGCCACCTTTTCTATACTGTACACTTCAGATGCACACTGTCAGCATTATCAAGCAACATTCCTTTGAAACTGTTGGTACGTTTTAACCAACTGAAACATTTTGATAAACGGTCGGGTTTCAATTATAAAGTTGTTGAGAATGAGCTAAAAATGTCCAAATAACTAAGACATTAGGGTGAAAAAAAGTTATGTACAATGGCATAAAGTTCTACATTCTATCATACAAAATGCACCTTCTCATTTCAACAAATAATTTCACCTGACAATTTGAAATGATACATGGAAACTTTAACATGGCTGATTGCGGTTTGGTTGACAAATGTGTTGAAAGAGAGAGGCTTTATTTCCTGTCCAACCGTTCGAAAGCTGAAGTGATAATTACCTTTTCCTTTTTAAGTATGCAAATAATAATATGACTATACAACTTTGCAGCAACGAGAATTAAAGTAATTTTACGTTACATCCCTTATTTAGAATGAAATGGTTTGTTGCTCCTTTCTAACTTCTTTTCTGGGGGAAGCTTGCAGAGCTTCTGTTGCTGTAAACCTCAAAGGTTGGTCAAAGGTAAAATAGCAGCTTCTATTTGATGCTGTGGCTTTACTCTTACCTCTTGTCATTGAAAGGAAAAAGCTTGCATGAAAAAAAGAGTTTCCAAAGCAATATGTGTAACAATAAGTCAAGATGTCAGACAAAATTAACAGTATGAAATAAAATAACAGCATCAGCATAAATCGAGACAGCAAAGCGTGCAACCAAGTTTTGTGGCCCAAACAGGAACAAAAATATATTTATCTATATAGCTATATACAGGGAAAAAAGTTTACACTGTTAATATTATTTCTTTTATTTTATAAAAATGTAAAATTTTGTGTCATTAAAATAGCTAATATAATTCTGTAAAGACTCTTTCTGCCCTTGTTTTCACTTAGTTTCCATTACCTTAAGGACAAACCAATCCACTCACTGTGATGTTTTTAAGCTGCTGTCACACTGTTTGAGGGCCTTGCCACAGTGCTGTGGCCACGTATAGTGCATGCTTTTGCTTTTGAGGCAACCCTATTTTGGAAATGAGAAGTCTAAAATGTAAATAGAACAAAAAGGCCGGCATTGCCACTGAATGAGTCACTTTTAATATTTCTCCATATCTGTGTTTTGTTTTCATTCAATTCAATTCAGTTTATTTATATAGCGCCAAATTCACAACACATGTCATCTCAAGGCACTTTACAGTTCAACCAGATCATACAGTCAAATTGATACAAAGTTTTCTAATCTAAGGAAAACCAGTTGATTGCATTGACTCATTGACTCAAATACAATCCCTCACACTAAGCATGCTTGTAGCGACAGTGGAGAAGAAAAACTCCCTTTTAACAGGAAGAAACCTCCAGCAGAATCAGGCTCAGTGTGAGAGGCCATCTGCTGAGTCCGACAGGGGTTCAAAGAGACAGAAGCAGAGACACAAGCAGCTGTAGAAGGCGGCCCCATCCAGGAAACACACAGCCAGGCAGACGAGCTCCCATCCCAGAGGACGAAGAGAGCACAACCACTCAGTCACGGTCAGAGAAACAGCACCACACTGGAAAACAGGCCGATCTCCAGCATCTATAAACAAGGGTGTTGATGGAAGCAGCACAGCTGATGTTTCTTTCCAGGATGGCGTCACAGCCATCCTGGAATGTTCATGTTTTTTCCCAAACTACTTTTACATCTGATGTTTAGAATCTTTGTGCAGTCTAAAAGGTCTCATTATGGATCAAAACATTATAGGGACAACACATGTGGTTTGATTCACAGTGAGGTTAGAGAAACTTCATCTGTGCACATGATTAATTACTGTGCTATAACATCTATAGTGACGTTGGAATAACACTTTCATGAATCAACAAGTTTGTGATACATCAAGTTAACAACTTGATGCAATCCACTGTCACCTGATGCCACATATATAGGAGAAATCATTCAGCTGGAGGAGTTGCTGCTAAATCAGTCAATTAATGCAATATACTGGTTTACATGTACAACCCTGTTATTTTGCATGCTAAATAAAGCTCTTTCACAGCTAGCTTAAAATTATGGCATTTTATTTTTCCATCTGTCTGTCTGTATGGTGGGACTTAATTGGTTTTGTAGAAAAGCTATTAGGAGGTAAATTAAAACTTTTTATTTATTAGAGCTATGTTTTTTCAAACCTGAAATCTAATCACATTTATAATTGTCCATCAGTCTTACCAACTAAAAACTTATTTTGCTGTACAGGTCAACTTAAACTCTTTTGTATAGATTTCATTAATTTATTTAGTTGTGGCTTCTTAGTCGTCTGGATACAGATCTATATCAATTTATTGATGATCTGACAGTTTTTTGGTGCTTGTACCCAGGCAGAAGACATGGTAGCAGCGAATGACATTGAGTTTGGATAATCATTGTCAGATTAAGATCAGAGATATTTTCCCCCAGGATCAGGACACTGGCGTTGGATGGATGCCAGAGAAGAAGGAAGGAAAGAGCTATATGGCCATTGTTTAGAGGTTTGACCTTGGCAAGCTGCAAAAAACAAGTGAAAGTAGCCATTATTAAAGTACAACCAAATAAAGCTAACAAGTTTTCATACACTGCACAGTCTCAGGAAAATTTCCCACAAGCTATTTGAGAAAGTGAAAAAACACTATCATCATCTCCTATCACACTAGTAAACATTTTAATATCAAATAACCAAAATAGACTGTGTTTGGGCATAAAATAGAGTTTTACATTTTAAATGTATTATTTTTGATGATTTACATTCCAGATTTGTGCCAATTTAAATGTTTTTAAACCTTATAACTAAAACTGGAATAGATAAAATCATTTTATGAAACCATTTCCAAGCTTCCCCATGTTAACAAAACAAAATGGTTGCTTTATCTGAAAATACTTTATCGAAATGTTGCTGCATATTTGCCTAAGTTCAGTACAAGCATTAAAACAACCTAAATAAAATTCACAGTTTTAAATAAAGAAGTGCAAATAAAGACATAACTACCTGATTGCCCATGAAGAAAAAATGCCTCACAGGCTAAGTAAATATAGTGGGCTGTGCATCTTCAAAATTTCAGCCAATCACTGATTTGTGCTTTGGAAACACTTCAACACCACCTAAACTTAGCACTCCACTTGAACAAGAAAGCATCAACAGTGCGAGAAAAGCTTTAGCACAATGATCGCAAGATTGACTGCAATGATCTTTCTCACAATAATGTGTATGTGAACTTATCTTCAAAGAGAGTTACATTTGTAAAACACAGTCTAAGGTAAATGACGTGAACAGCTCCAGCTATTTTATTAACGCATTGACTAATTTCTTTTTTTCACAGCTCTTATTCATACCCTTCAGCCTTCCGGCCTCATCCCTTTAACTGTGGTTGACGTCGGTGATAATGTTACATTTGACTGCAACATTTTGGATAAGGATCTTAAATTTGTTTACTGGTATAAACAGTCTCTTGGTTATATGGTTGAAAAAGTAGCTAGTGTAGTTTTAGGTAAATTGGAGGTATATGAAAAATTTAGAGCCTCTGGCTTTGCTATGAAAACAGAGGGAGGTCATTATGATCTCACAATCACAAATGTGACCAAAGAGGATGAAGCAACATACTTATGTCACGCTGGGACAACATATTCACAAACATTCATCAGTGGCACATTCCTAGCTGTGAATGGTAAGATGTAGTTTGTTGGCTTTCAAATTCCTGGAAAGGTGTTGTTTCTTTGTCTTTTTTTTTTGTTGCAAGTATAATGGATATCGGTTTTGTTTACCATGTTTTTGCTAACTCTGCAGATCATAAACAGCAAAAATCGCTATATTTGGAACAACATCCCAAGACTGAGTTGGTTCAGCAAGGAGAGATTGTGACTCTCCAGTGTTTTATTCTCTCAAAGAACAAAGAAAAAGTTGAATGCCCGACTGAACCCAGGATGTACTGGTTCAGAGCTGAATCTGATCGATTCCATCCTGGCATTATTTACACTCAGGGGAACATCAGTGACAAAGATCTGGAAAGAAGCTGTTCCTACAGTTTATCTGTACGAGACTCGTCTGATGCTGGAATTTATTACAGCGCTGTGGGCACATGTGGATCAATCCTGTTTGGTAGAGGAACCAAAGTGGAGACAAGTATGTGTTTACATTTCATTTGTATCTTAGATAGATATACATTGGTTTTGGTATGAAAAACAAAATAATATAAATATGGGTAAAGATTAGGGAATTTGGGAATATTTGAAATGTTATGAAATGCAAATATAAGCTAGTAATATTTTAACAAGTATTTTTAAGTTCTAAAATTAGAGTATTTTAATAAATTCCTCGTGTTTATACATTATTTTCATAAAAAGCAGATCTTTATCATCTTCTTTATTATAATACACTTCTAGAATCTATTTTTGTGTTGGGATATGATGGTTAATGGTTAAGGTTAAAGAGTACATGTCCTACCCAACATAATGTTAACATAAAGTTAATTTGCAAACAATGTCACCTAATGAAAATACATTTTTGCCTTTCTGTTTTTTTGTTGCTGTAATTTAGCTAAAGAGATTGGCAGCCTTGTGAAAACACTTACGGGACTGTTGGCCTGCTGCTTTGTTCTTATTTTCCTCCTAATTATCTATATAAAATGGAAAAGAAATTGCAATCAGAGCAAAGGTGAGTTTTAAATAATGAAATACATACAATGCACATCAGTTTACAATTAACCTTTAATTTGATTTATCTTTAATAATTTATGTTAAAAATCCAAATCCAAAAAACAGAGTTTTTGGGCATACTAATATAATCTGTTAGGCACTGCACAAACTGCAACATGAAACATGGTGGCGGCAGTATCATGCTGTTGAAGTAATTTTCTCCATTGGTATAAGGAAAGCATCTTAGAATACACGGTTGATGGATGGAGCTTAAGATAAAGTTGAAAAACTACATCAGTACCAAAATAAAGCCTAAAGGCTGCTAATCATGCTGTTGTTCTATGTTATCAATGTTTTTGATTGTTTTGGCCAATATTCATACTTAAATTCAAATTTGAAAAAATTTAAACAATGGGCTAAATGTCCACCTCCACTACTACCTCAATAAGCATGACGGGACTTGACAGACACACCTAGATTAATTTGTCTGACCAACAATAAAAAACAGGAAATAAAAGAGCTGCTGAAGTTCAGGAAGTTGTCGAGCTGTGCATAAAAACCATTGATGTTTAGCTGTAACATCAACCAAATAGTGATGGGAATGGCAGCACTATTAATCAATTAAACTGATTTCCTCCAAAGATTTGTTTTTTCATATCCATGCCACACTTTTCAGATTTTTATGTCAAAATGTATTTTTGGAAAGGATGTATTCTACTACTTTCATTTCACATTTACACTAACATGCCAGTTTTAACAAGACCACCCTACCTTATTTCTTTGAGATATATATTTTACAAGAAATTATCAATTTCTACACGTGTTGTTTTCCGTTATCACCCTAGCACATGTAAATCCTTATGATATGTCAACTTCACTTCGAAGATACTAATCTCCCATTTACTATTAGGTTCCCTCTTGAGAAGTGTGGAGATTGCTATTATGGTACAGGGATTTTTTATGTTCTAGAAACAAATGCAGGTGAATTGTGGTTTCTGACATAGTGTATTATTTTATTAGGTGTAGCCATAAGATGATGAGTTCCCAGAGGTAAAAGAAAATGAACTGAACTGCCATGTCCTTGACTGACGTGTTTTTTGTGTTAACATACAATGCAACATTTTAGTTTACATGCCACTTTATGTGTATAAAAATAAAAGGTAGAATTTGTTCTTTAAAGTTCAAGTTGGTGGTCACAGTCTGGTGGAGGATGATAAATCAAGAGCTGTTTCACCAGGAATCTTGGTAAATATCTGACAAGTATAATATAGTACTCCATGTCCTTATGACATGAAAGAATAACAAACATGTTTTGTTTTTTTTTGTTTTTTTTGCAGGATGATGAAGCAAAAGTTGAAAACTATGCATCGGTCCACAAATGGGTTAGAAGAGATAATGAGAAGAAGGAGCAGCCACAAGAATGTGTTTACTCTGCTGTCAGAACCAATAACTGCCATACCAAACTCTCTTCACTTTAATTGTTACACGATGCATAAATGTGTAAGTTTTTTTGTGGAATTAGTTGATTAGATATATTTCACAGCCAAATCCAAATTACATGAATATGAAAAAATCTGCAAACTGCAAAATTTTATTTAAGCCGGATTTTATTATTTGTTTATTCATTTGGTAGTACCAGTATGTTGTAACAAAAACAAAAGCAGTTCTGGTTTCTAATTGATTACACTACGTTTTTTTTATATATATATAAATAAACATAATTGTAAATTTTGTTGACAAATTGTAATATTATAATATAGTGAACTTAGAAATAAGTTTGAGGAATCTCCTGGGGTTTTTGTTTAGCATTCTCATTGAAAATAATGATAAAAACAATAAATGTTGAGCTTAATCCTCACAAGGGTTTTATTTTAAATGGCTTCTATGAGCTCTACTGTGATCCAGCTGTTTTTTCTCTAATAACATATACTGTAGTAAAACATTTCATTATATTACAGAAAGACATTGTGTTAAGGTACAACTGTAACAGGCTGAATATTGCATGCTATATTCACAATACATCTACAAGTTATTCAAAAATTGAAATTTTGGGGGTTTTGTTGCATAAAGTTGCTGATGAAAATAAATGATGATTAATAAATCAAACAAAAGACCAGAGTATTAGTAGACCAGTATTGGAGGTGCACAGTGTCATTCGTTGAGTAACTCTGTATGGTAGAAAAACTTAAGTCAACTGACAATCATAAAACTGAAAAAAAAAAGAGTAATGCGCTGATATTAAAACAGGGTTAAAATGATGCAAATTTCTGGTCTTGGTCAGTACATGAGCAGCAAGTCAAGGTTGGGCATATTTTTCTTAAGGACACCAAAAGGCTTTGCAATCCTATTAACAGCTCTTAAAATTCATCACAATCCAATTGCTCCTCCATGTCCTTCAGCAAACTCCTGCTTTGACAAAGCATTCAATAGGCCAATATTTTAAAATAAAAATGAGAGTCATAGAAAAATTCATATGTTCCTGATTTGCTTAGAAACATCTGAAGAACAATGACAACTATCAAATGAAATGGGCTCCAGAAATTTATATCTATAAATCTTGATCATTCTCATGAGCAGCCTGAAGCAGCCATACCAAAAATACATGTTTTGTTATTACACATACACATGGATGAAAAATAAATTATCATGCCAGCATAAAAATAATCCATCCTTTAATAAAGTTATAGTGAAACCTAACCAACAAGGTGCAGCATACCAGCTAAAAAGAGCCCTGGATGACACGAATAGTTAGCTTTATTGGTGTGTAAGAAACGCTTATCAAGGCTTACCATTTTCTACATGCAAGACAGGAGCTAACAAGGTAAAAGCATTTCCAAACAGGGAAACCAAGCTTTTCAGGAGATTAAAAAGGATTTGCGTATTAAAGACTTCATTAACCCTAACTGATAGCTTGTGTAAGGCTGGGGATGCACTGTACAATTTTTGCCCTTTTCAGTCCGATTCTCAAGTCCTGCAAGATTTTTTTTGATCAGGCTGAGTTTCAGCCTCATGATGTGTCCTGCATAGTGTAGTATACAGGAAGTAACAAGGGGCGATAGCCTTATACGACCACCTCCTGATAAGGGGTCATACGGTCAGGAGAAAATCAAACATGTCTCAAATTCAGTCAGACCTTGTGAGCTGTTTGTGAGCAAATCCTGCTGTTAAAGCAGAGCTACAAGTATCTATGAGCCGTTAGATGAGTCTGACTAAGCGCTATTTCTCGAGCTGAGTCCGACGTGTGGTTTTTTTGGATGTAGAGTGTGAGAAGTTAGATTGCTTCAAAGCATCAGGCTGTACAGTGTAAGAACTTAGACCATTTTTATTTTCATCGAAATTTCGTTTTGTACAGCTTTCAGACAGTAAAGGAGCAGCAGCTTAGCAGTGAAAGGAACATTTTACCAGCCGAGATTAATGTAAACAGTGTGGGAGAAATAAAACATTGTGCAAAACGCATTGATATGGAAGTGCAGAGTAGAGTCCCGCGCCCGCCCGCTCCCGGAGTATTCAGTCCCGCTCCTGCAAAAAAATTATGATTTTCAGTCCTGCTCCCGCCCAGACCTGTAATAGTTTGTCCCGCTCCCTCCCGCAATTCCAGGATGATTCCGACGTTCACCTACTGCTCAAAGCAATTCGTGTCATTAGTTTGAGGAATTAAACACGCTGTGCTTAGCTGAGCACATTACTGGTCGATTCTTCACGAGCTGCAATATCCAGCACATTCGGATGTATATATATGATAGACATATATTGATAATTTATGACTTTATTGTACATTTTATTTTAATTTTAAAACACGTTTTTAGTTTGCGGGACTGCCGCTTATCACCGCTCCCGCCCGCACTGTGCGCTCTCCCTCCTGCCTGCACCTGCGATCAGCTTTCAATATTTGGCCCGCGCCACACACTGCTTTTCGTTGGGTCCAGCGAGTCCCGGGGGAGTGCAGGGCTCTATTTCAGAGCATTTCAAAACAAATATATATGGTGCAAATATGCTGTATTTTGGGTTGTTGTTATCAGTGTGATGCAGAGTCTGTGACTTGATTTCGAGTTTTTTCAGCAGTTCAGCTGTGGGGAAAAAGCTGTTGCAGAATCTGCAGGCCCTGCGGCGGACTTCTGTGCCCTTTAACATGTATTGTGAGTTGTGAACTTTTAAACCCCTGCAATTTCATCATAAAGTTTGAGTTGAAGCAGAGTACAACAGATGAAAATATTGAACTGTGTATGCCCGGCTTAAGCCAGCAGGTGAGACATTCCCTCTGAGAAAGCAATTTACAATGGTTCAAATTTCTTGCTTTAAGAACAAATACAAAGATTTCAAAACTGATGATGTGGAAAAAAAATCAGGATGAATCAGGTTATCAATATTGAAAAGGGGGTTATTTTGGGTTTGTTTGAATCATTATTAGATATTTAATGTTTGCTTGTTTTTCTTTTCTGCCTTCTTGTAAGTTCTTTACAGTTTCTTTATGTGCCCATTTTCGATGGAAAGGGCTTGGTCCATAGAAATGTTTTTATTCAAATGCAGATTCATCATTTGTTTTCACATTTTTTGAAGAATGAATATAACATGAAATCATAGAAAGGGTTTAACATCCCAGGGAACCTTTAGTGAAAACCTTTAATCAGAGGTGGGTAGTAACTTGTTGCATTTACTCTGTTACATTTACTTGAATACTTTTTGAAAAACAAACAAACAAACAAAAAACTTTTAGGGGTACTTTTACAGCATTGTAATATTTACTTTTACTTGAGTAAAAATATTTTAAAGTATCACTACTTTTGCTTGATTAAAATGTCTGGCTACTCTATCCATTTTTAGTAGGCTGCCTTATGAAAAACAAGCTTGTTTTAAACAAATATGCACCACTGAAAGACAACCTATCTTCTTCTTTTGTGCACCAGGCTTATTACTTGGATGTTATTTTCCATCTGCTGAGTCATTTGGAGTTTTACTGATAATACAGTAAACCCTATATTGTAATTTTACATACTTGGTCAGCCGTGACAATCCTCCTTAGAAGGCTATTGATCAACAACAGTGTTTTCAGTCAACGGCTTTTCCAAATCGACTGCTACAGGAGAATCACTGCAAATCTTAAAACAACATTTCATTTCCTTTTGGGATTAATTCAGATTTTAATTGAACTGAGCCAAATGAATCAAAGCAAAGAGCTGGTTAATCACTGCTGAGAACAAATTCTTTAAATTGTTCAGATCCCTGCTGTTAACAGCAGCTTTCCCATTTTTCTGTTTAATTTGTTGCTGCTTTCTTGATTAACAAATAAATGTGTGCATTTTGTTTTCTTTCAAATTGCCTTTTTAGGCAGCACAGTAATTTTAATCTGAGTAATATTTTTGAATACCTGTTTAGTAATTTTCTTCCACTCTAAATGTTTACCTTGTTTTTTATAGACCCGAGTGTCTCACTGTAGGACAATAGATAACTATTCTGTTCTGTTTTATTTAAATCTTTGCTTTACCTCAGGATTGTAAAATCACTATCATCGTCATTTATTTATGACTCATTGAATAATATGCTGCACTGTGGCTTTTAGAACTTGTTATTTGATTTACTTATTTGCATGTGTTTCCTTTTATCTTTTTCATTAATTATACTATGGATCATTTTTAAAAACTGATTAATTGTTGATTGTTTAATCCGGTATTCACACGTTTTTAAAGACAAGACAACAAAAGAAGACCAAACTGCAGTGTTACACTGTATTAGAATAAGATTCCTGTTTAACGACGTTGGTGTTGTTTTTGCTGTGATCCTTGCATCTGTGCACAAGGTTGTCTCTGCGCCTAAAATATTTACCTCATACTTTTTTTCTTATGACACACATACACAGTTATTTTTACAGTGCGTAGCAAACCAGATGTACAGTTTTTCATTAATCAAAAAGTCATAGAAAGTCAAGCATCAGTCTAATCTAACTTTTTTTTCCACAAACATTTGAAAAATACAGTAAGACCCAATATTACAATAAAATTCAAACAATTGTAAAATATATACAAACTATCCATACATATACATACATTTTATATTCACCTTACTTAGCTGGTTTAATTATGCTGTTTTAATTAACTGCTTAATAGTTTTTCTTCTGCTGTAAGCTTTTTCTCTCACTTGCTACTGGAAAGAAAATTCCCCACAGTGAGAAAATAAAAAAGATAATGAAGTGGTCCAAAGTTTGTTTCTTTTTACTTCTTAGTTTCCTTCAAATGCTCTGACATCACTGTAGATGGTATCTTCTCTTCTTCTTGCCTTAACTCTGTCTGCCCTGTCAGTTTTCATCTGCCAAAAAGTTGTTTTAGAATAAACTAAATCATCTCCATTTCTCTGTGAAAATAAAAAAGCAGGGTAAGTTACATAGAAATTTGCAAAGTTAAAATGAACATAGCTGATGTTATGTATATTAAAGTCCTTTGCTTTAATTCGTACCTGTTGATTTTGTTGTCCACAAACTGTTGTATCATTTCTTTCTAGATTCTCTGACTCTGTAAGTAATATAACAAATTAATAGCAGGTTTAAAATTGGTTTCATTTTGTGCATAAATGATAAAAAGAAGCAAC